ATTGACCAAAACTAACCATGTATTCACAGTTCCTGGCTTCCTGAAGACATAAACCGTCTACAGCAGCTTTTAAATCAGCTTATAGACGTTTAGTTTATTTTTAAGTACAGGTTTACTTAAACTTAACCTAAAACAGCTGGACTCTATTTAAGCAGATGTGGCTCAAACTGGAGAAACAGTTCATTTGATGGAGTTCATTATCGGCCAACGCATGAGGTGTGATAGCTTTAGGACCGACGAAATAAACTACACGGGACAAGTCAGTGTCCCACATCGGTACGAATTTCAGAGTATTAGTTGTGAGCTTATTGCCCCACAATGCACTGCTTCTCGGGGACTTGAGGGCAGCTTTCAGTGAGAAGTCGTTTTACTAAGTTTAATATGTTTTCAAGCGGGCAAGTAACCTTTTAGCCAGTTAGTGGTCAGTTTATCAAATGAACCCATGTTTGGAATTTTGCTAAAGTGTTTTTCTGAGATGTGACGGAGACGTTTTGTGAGATTTCTTGAGCTGGAGGTGAATGAACTTGATTAGTGGCTCTGAACTGAACCCTTCAGAACTGAATTTAATGATGAATTAGCACTCACTCACTCACAGCAGCGTAAAGTTTCTCCAGCTGCGTAATGTCAACAGTGCGGATTTCCAACATGTTTGATCGCGATGACTCGTCCTAATCATGGGCCTGTGCCTTTAAGAAACAAACAGCTGTGTGTGTCGTGGGAATTGTTTTCCAGCTTTGACGTCTCTTGTATCTTTGCGTCTTTGAAAAGTGCAACACATTCAGTGAAATGACCGTGATCATGTTTTCTTCATGATGGTCATTCATTGATTTTGATCTGCAGATCATTAAACTCACTTTGATGTTTGAAGATTAAAAAACAAACCTGTATTCATGGAATTCTTCATGCTGTCGCGTAGGTTCCTTTTGAAATAAGCAATTTAGTTTCATGCCTTTTACCTTGATTATGGGCTCTCATTAGGCGCTAATTAGTATACTCACCTTAAGTGAACGTGTCTATTCGGCATTGTCAAAGCTTGAGTCAACACTGCATTCATTCAAATACCTGCCATGCAAACATATTTAGTTCTCTGAGTTGCTGAATGAAATCAACATTGTTCCCCCCCGAGTGCAAAGCTCTTTTATTATCAACGCTAAGATACAAGGAATGATCACACACCAAACTACCAAACCAGTGGAACTACCAAACCAGGCCAAACTGAATGTCTTCATTTTGGCCTTTATGCTCAGATGTGAGCCTGTGACTGAGGACATGAACCCAGACTGGTTAAAGGGGGGGGCAGACAGACAGACAGACAGACAGACAGACAGATGTTGATATGTGACAGCCAGCACTTCCTTGTGTTTGGAAAGCCGAGCAGAACAAAATAAATTCTTGCCTGCTGGTCGCATTCAACCGTTTGCTCGTGTGCCGTGCTTTTTCAGACGTAGAGGTGACCTGTCGGCCGACTCGGGGGGGGGGGGGGGCACGCACGCACGCACGCACGCACGCACTTCAATGTTTACAGCACTCTGCTAGTTTGACGAACCGAGAGGAAAGAACTGGAAAATGTGCGACAGAACATGCAAGATGTTGCGGATGTGGTGTTTGGATCTTATATGTGAATATATTCAAGTGCGGTGACGAAATACCCGCGTGTTCGAAAGAAACGATGCAGCCAGCGAGAGACGGAAGGAAATACTAAGACCCGATCCCGATGGCCCCCCTGAAGCCTTAACGTCACCTGAGTGTGAGAGGCTGCAGGTGTTTGACATGATGTGAATACGAATGGGACGGCATTTTGCTGCAACGTCGTACATATTAAGCAGAACTGTGGGTATTTATTCAGTACTTTTTTTGCTCCTTGATTTGAACGTCTTCCAGGCCTCACGAGATGAGGTGAGCACATCTCACATCCCGTTGGGTCTGAAAGGGCCCTGATGCATCATGGGACGTCTGCTTCCCTACTCAGTCGGCTTCTGCGTTTTTTGTTTTAAAGAATGGAGTTGTGTCCTCTGGTTGACCTGGACTCTGTGGTCAGTCGTGAGAGAGAGAGCCTCTGTTTGGATTGACGTGGTGGACGTTGCAGTGACTTGCACCATCTTGATCTTTACTCTTTTTTTTCTGTTGGGGAGGATGTGAGCAGCAGTACGACACAGATGTTCCTCACAAGTAGAAGAAGAAGAGGAGGGTGCTACAAAGTCGCCATCGTACTTTTTCGAGTCTCCTCTTCTTCAAATCATTGGATGATTTTTCCTCTAAAAACTATTCGATCAAACGATCTCAGAATATGTCTTCGGTTAAACTGATCCGAACCTTTTACACTTGGAACTGTAGAGTAGAGAAATCTTTATTTCGCCCAAAAGGTTTGGAACACTGCTTTAAACAACTCAAATATAAACTTCAGAAAATCTCTCACTCTGATTCACACCAAACGAAACAAACGATCGCACCATTTATGACGCAACGTCAAACACCAACTGCTCCCAAGCTGTAAAGATACTCCCTAAAAAAAGATCGGCTCCCTGATCGGTTTAGAATTGATCTCAACATATTACTGATCACGTTTAAAGCACGTATCGGTCTGGCCCAGAAATATATAGAAGAAATGTTGCCCCCCCCCCCTATGAGCCAGCTCTCAGCCTCAGATCCTCAGGTGGGGCCCTTCTAGCTGTTCCAAAGTCGAGGCTCACATCTAAAGGTGGCCGTGCTTTAGTTGGGCCTCACTTTGTAAACTCTGCTGTTAAAGGTGCTATATGTGTGTATGTATATATATATACATATATATACATATATATATATATATATATATATATATATATGTAT